GAGGGCGTGCGTGTCAGATTGTCCCCCTTTCCTGTTTGCCCGCGCCCCAATCTTGCGCAATTCGATGGCCTCCTCACGCTCAACTTCACTAGGACGAAGGGGGGGAGTTCACCCAAGCACGAAAGCAAGCGGCAGATCTGTGAAGGTGTTTGATCAAACGCACACCCTGCCAGAACTCCCAGCAGCACACAGGGCACGCCGATCCCGTGGCCAGGTTCTCAGGTGTCTGGGCGGTCTTATGCTTCTTGGAGCGATGGTTGCGAAAGAGCCTCAACGTCTTGGCAAGGTGACCGCACTCGTAGCAAAGGAAGCCTTGATCGCCAGCAGGGTCAGGCGGTGGCGGCGGAGCCCCCCTAAGCGGTAGCTGGCTGTCCCCAATGTGTGGGGGGGGGGGGGAGCTCACTGGACCTGGGGGGAATCTCATCCTCGCCCAGGTCATCTGGCCCTCCTTGCGAGCCATCACTGGCAAGCTGGGTTATGAAGCCATATCTGTTCAAATCTGTGTTGTCATTCTGCGTGCGCTGGAAGATGGCCCGCAATCTGGGGCACGCCATCTTTTTGTACGCCTCCTGTCGCCATTGCCGTACTTGTAGAGTGATAGCCCAAAACCTTTTCGCGCTGGTGGCAGCCTGCTTCACAATGGCCAGGTATTCTCGTCTGTGAAATCTCGCCAGCCGAATCCACGAATGATCATCATAACCAGATTCAGAGCGTCGGCCTGGAGATATCGCCGGGTCCATCCAAAATCCTGTCGTACCAATTTTGCCCAGCCTCGATCCCACGTGTAGTCAAGTAATAGTCTTACCAGTGGTGGAGCTCCACTGAGTATCCGTGGTAGTAGTCGCAGCCGAGCCACTGTCATAACCACATGTAAGGGTAACCTCTGCACCTTTACCAATATGTCGGCTGTCGATGCGTGCACCTCGCTGCAGTTGGTGGTCCCAAGGTTCAAAGGAGTCCTGTAAATTGACATGTAGCCCGCGAGGGCTCTCATCTGCAGGTAGCGTGGCAGCGGGTCCCACGTGCCTGCTGCGAACAAAAATTTTGACCCCGCGTATGCCTCGCTGTATCGTATTTTGTGTGTCAAATCTAGCTGCGTACATGATGCAACCACTTTTTTTGATTGGCCTCAAGGCCGATCTCGAGCTTCGTATTCTCTCAGGAATCTCATCGCTCATGGTGCCTCTGTCATTGAAGCGCGCCCCTAGCACCTTGTGTACTCTCGCGATGGGTACTTTGAAGTCGTGTAGGTCACTGACGAGGTAGTTCTGCTGCTTGGTGTAATACTGTCTGGCCTGGGTCCTCGCTCCAGCTCCACGAAAGCTCAGCATGACCGCGGTCTTGTCGAAATTCAGTCGAAATCCATGTTTGGTGCACTGTATAAGTATAATGTCAGTCAATCTCATCGTCTTGAAGGCCAGCTCCGAGGCCGGCGCCGCCATAAGGGCAGCGAGGTCATCTACGAAAGAAGTGCTGGAGTGAGATTGCTCCTGATCATCTTCAGAGCCAACATGGGCTACGGAGGGGGGCGGTGTCCATGCTAGATTCCCTTGGGCAGCTTGCATGTCGATGCGCCCCTGTATTCTCGCAGAGAGTACGTCGAAGACATCCGCGGCAGAAATCGTGCCAGGACGGCATCCTCTCCCAGGGCACTCAAAGCCTTGAGCGCCCCGCACACGCCAAAAACTGCCCACTTGGCTTTCGCGCGCCAGCTCCAACAGGTGGGGTGGCATATCCACGCTATCCAGGGGCCCCCCCGCCTCAAGCTCAGCCTCGAGTCCAGCGCGAACGAAGGGCCCCATCTCCGCATGCATGAGCGCATCTTCGAGCCTTTCCGCCTCGCGCGGCAGCGTGAGGCACAGCTGTTTGAGGGCAGAATAAAAGGCCGCGTGCAAGTTAACAAAGACCCCCCCCCAGCAGAGAGTCCACGCTCCTTTATAGCGCTCCAAAAAGAGCGGATCATGAGGAGGGCTCCCTCAAGCCCCCTGCCAGGAAGCCCTCCGCACTGAACCTGCAGAAGCGCGCGCTCCACAAAACGAAGAGAGGCCTGTCGCAACAATTTGTGGCGAAGTTTTCATGGTGCTGCCTAACAGAACGCTGCGCTGATTAGGCATGAGGTTGGTGGCTCCTTTACCCATGTGGAAGAAAACGATCTCTCCACTCTTGAATCCTAGTGGCTCTCTTTGCAGCACGCATGTCTTCAGGAGCAACGGATGCACGTCGCGCAACCGACTCGTTAGCACACTTTCCTAGATCGGCCACAATGCCATCCATGCCCGCGGCCTTGTTCGCAGGGCATTTGCGGAGTGCCTGCTCCGCGCTTACAAGTGCGGCGAGAAGCTCAAGCGCTGGGTCTGGCCTGGGGGTGGGATGCTGACTGACTCTATTGTATTCCCCCAGTAACTTATGAGAACCGACGCTCTTGGCAGCCTCGATGTTAGCAAAGTATTTCTGAGCAATATGTGCGATCTCCTCTTGAGTCGTCGCGGCGCTACCCGCATCATGAAGCATGTCTGGGAAGGTCATGCCCTTCTTGGACGGCTTGCCTCCGAAGCGCAAAGCGCGGTCTAACGCCGCCCACTCCTTGCCAGGTACGTGCCCATCAATCGCTATCGACACCTCACCCAATTGCTTCACCAAAAAGTTAGCCCTATCATGGTGCATGTTATATACCAAAATCTGCTGAGACGTCAGCATGAAGCCATTCAATGAGAGATGCAAGAGGTCAACGTGAAGCCTCCCTCTTAGGAACAGCTCGACCCAGGACGCAAGTTCCATCCTAGCTTGTCCCCACCTGGTGTGATGTCCGATTCTGCTCATAGATTAGTCTGCTGTGTGAAGCCTTGCGGCTGTGTGTCTGAAATCTCTGCTCCTACAAGTCCCCCCCCCCATCACTTGCTTCACAAGGGCTTCCTGAATAGCTCTACGCGCGGCAATCAAAGAGAGGGTGGAGGAGGAGAGATAGCAAGCACGGGGTCTGCGCTTTTCCACGGGGAAGGCCTGGGCGGCCGCCGTGTGAAGTTCATGCACAACACTAGTTAGGTGGGCGTTAACTCCAGTCTCCCAGGCCGGCACAGGAACAGCCCCAAGAAGGTCCCGAAAGCTGGATACACACTTGGGGCCATTGACCTCGTTACGATCGCATCTGGGGTCGGGGGGGCGATACTGGCAGACCCCCCTCTTCCATTGGAATTCCACTTGCAACGGCACATGGTCAGGCTGCTTGGCGCAAAGGTCCACATCATACCTGGTCCTGACCGCGGTTACCGAGGCCATAAAAGCTGCATCACAACATACATAGTCGATCCTGTGCTTGGGTTTTTCTTTGCCAATGAAGGTATGGCTGTGGGGGGGGGGGGTACCTTGGTATTGGCCACATGAAGGTGATTATGAGCAACACAGGTGTGAAACTCGGCTCCTGTGGCATCCTCTGCTTGGACAAACCCCTCCTCCCCAACCCATTCAGAAGTGACGTTGCCAAGCCTCCCATTCGCATCAACAAACGCAAGG